CGAATGATTCCAGTTAAGAGGCGACTTTTCCTCCCCTTCAATCCATTCTCTGATCTGAAGCCAAAATAAACTTTAAAAAGGTAAATCTGATGATGTTACTTCCTCATAATATCAATGGCTTCCATTTTTGTTGGTTTGAAGGACAAAATGCTTAATATGGCCTTCCATAAGTCCTGTGAGCTAACTCTTGTGGCTCATCCCTGGTTCTCCTCTCCATCCTAATCTTCATTTAACCTCTTCAGCTCCTTGAACTCGGCAGACTCTCTCAAGGGAGAGTTCTGTTATATGGTCTGTCTTCTCACAGAACTGCTATCCCTTCTCTCATTCTGGTGACAATGGGCTGGCATCGGGCTCATTTTTCAGGTCTCATTTAAGATATTTTCTTCAGAGAAGAATTTGAGCTTAGGCTAGAAATTTTTAATTATCAGCTATTTGCCTCTTTAGAGGGTAACAGTAGAGGAGTAGTATTTGACTCTGTCCTGATATTTCATTTTTCCCCAAAGTATATTGTATTAAGAATGAACTTAGTAAGTATCAGATATGTTTCCTCGTATAGACAAGTGATAACATAGCAGAGAAAGTTCATAATAACTACCGAGATGGTGGCTGTAACCCATGATTTTATACATTATCAGTATAAAAAACATACATTTTTGCCAAGATAAGTCTATTCAATCTCCATCATATTCTGAAAAAAGTTGTATTGTACAAATGTATAACAGCATAGCACCATAACTGTGAAGCTCACAGGATGTGTTAGAATATTATGGGAAATAAACATCTGAGTAATATATAGTCTCGCTGAAGTCCTAAATAGATGTGGACAAGTGGTGAGAGAGAGGATTATAAAGGTAAGTTAGAGTCCGTTTATAGAACCTTGTGTGCATGCCTAAAGCATCTGTCCTTTGTGTGCTAATGAGAAAAGATTCATTATATAGTAGTACAAAAATGAAATGGTCTTCAGGACTCCAAGCTTCATTTACCACTGTGTCATCAACAAAGTCACATCCTCTCTGAACACCCTCACCTACATTTGAAAGATTAAGATACCTCATCAACTAAGAAGTGGGAACGGTAGAACTTGAGGTAGAAAACTTGAATTTGCCTTCTAGTTACAACATTGACTCTGGCTTAGCTCAAAGATAAATGTCTTAAACATTGAAGTAAATCACAATCCTGTTGGATTTAGCCTTCTCAGACTTCCTTTATACCTAGGGGGAAGGTCGGCCCTAATCCTGTGATGTTTTAAATTAGATACCTCCTTTTAGCTTCTCTCTGACAGGTCTGGAACTTCAACTTTGAAAGATTCATGATGTCTCAATATATCCTTGACACTAAACAATTGGTTCTTCCTAATGTTCAGCATCTACTATATGAAAAATGCCCTCAACAATGTATGTAACTCTCATATAAACTAGAGAATAGTGCAAAAAACAGTAATGTTTAAAAAAATATTTTTTAAAGCTCTTTTTTAATAGGCAAGGAAATTCAGTAGTCACAGGATTATAGGATTGTCTTAGCCAGGAGAATAAGAGAGAAAACAATTCACCTATAAAAGACATAAATGACTTAACAGTGGGAGCATATATCCTTGATAAAGATAATCCTGGGTTAAAATACCAGCTTTGCTGTAGACTAATTATGTGATGTTGAAAATATGTCTTAAACTTCATGAGGATCATGATAGTACTTGCCTTATAAAGTGTGGAAAGTGTTGAGTTAAGTTTAGGACTCAGGATACCACCTGTACTCAGTAGTAATATATGCATTTTTCTATTTGTACTAATATTAGCAGTAGTAGGACAGTATATGGGTTTTTGTTTAACTACCAACACAATGCCTGACATATAAATTCTCAATAATACGTGAAGGATACTCAAATTCATTGAACACTCATTACAAACCCAACATCAGTATGGGGGTTTTAATACATAGATTATTTACTCAATTAGACAACCTGTCAGGGAGCTTCATTTTTCTCATCTGTTTGGGAAGACTACGGGACTTGTCATGCATTAAACAATTAGTAAGTGAAAGTCCTAATTCCAAAATCAGATTATACTCCAACTGCAGTGGTTCCCAAGTCAAAATCTGAAATTATATCATGCTGGGGGCTGGCCCCAAGGCCGAGTGGTTAAGTTCATGTGCCCCGCTGTAGGTGGCCCAGTGTTTCATTGGTTCGGATCCTGGGCGCGGACATGGCACTGCTCATCAAACCACGCTGAGGCAGCGTCCCACATGCCACAACTAGAAGGACCCACAACGAAGAATACAGAACTATGTACTGGGGAGCTTTGGGGAGAAAAAGGAAAAAAAATAAAATCTTGAAATTATATCATTCTGGATAATAATGGATAAAATACATAAGCCTCTACTAATTGTTGACTTAATTGATACCTTTGTTTATTTCTTCCAATAGAATAATACTAAATGTATTTTTTCTAATAATCTTTATCAGGCTTTCTCCTCTGTTGATATTAAAGTTGGAAATCACAGCATCCTGACTGAATTGATCTTGGTGAGCTTCTCAGCAAATCCCCACGGCAGCTGATTTGTTTGGAATATTTCTGATGCTCTACTTGACAACCTTGTCAGGGAACATGACCCTGGTTATCTTAATCTGAATTGATTCCCGCCTGCACATGCCTATGTAGTTTTTTATTGGCAATCTGTCTTTTCTGGATTTCAGGTATACCTCTGTGTATACTCCCCAAATCCTGGCTGTTTGTGTCTCAGAAGATAAATGCATTTCCTTGGCTGGATGTGGAGCCCAGTTTTTACTTTCCTGTGCTGTAACCTACACTAAGTGCTATTTCCTATCAGCCATGGCCTATAATCACCATGTGACCATCTATAACCCATTACTTTATTCTAGTATGATGTCCCGTTCTCTCTGTACTGGACTCACTGCTGGCTCCTACGTAGGAGGGTTCTTGAATGTCATAGCCTATCCTACTAAGAATTTATGCCTGAGTTTCTGTGGTAAAAATATCATTGACCACTTCTTTGATGCACCACCATTGGTAAAAATATCTTTTGCAGAAACTCATGTCTATGAAAATGTCCGACTGGGTGTGATGGGCTTCACAGTCCACCATAGCATTCTTACCATCCTGATTTCTTATTTCAACACACTTCTGGAAATCCTAAGGTTATGAACAGCCTCAGGAAGCCACAAGGCCTTCTCCACCTAATCTTGGTCATGCTTTTCTATGGATCCTTGCTCTTCATGTATTCAAGGCCAAGTTCCACCTACTTCCTGGAGAAAGACAAAGTGGCTTCCCTGTTCTACACTGTGGTCAGCCCATTGCTCAACCCTCTCATCAATAACCTGAGAAACAAAGATGGCAAATAGGTCTTCTGGAAAGTAATGCAGACCATAAACCCACAGAGATGAAGGTTATCTTTCTGCAGAATGCTCTAAAATTATTTTCTAAACATTTGCTTATACACATATTTGAAAACATCACAATATTTCAGGTAAATTCAACAGACCATACTTAAAACTATGAACCATTGAAGAAACCACTCTTAACTGTTTATTATGATTTTGCTATAATTACATATTTTAAACCTACAATATTGGGTTATTTAATGGCCCCCAATATGAATACTTTGCAGTACTTGATTTTTTAAAATTTTATCCTCTTGATTGTCTTTGGGAGGTTTGGAAAGAGAAAAGAAGAACTGGATGGCTTTTGTGCATATAGTTTGACATTAAAGTTTGACAATAAAACTTTGTTGTGTGGAGAAAATATTCGAAATAGTTAAAATGGTGTAAATTTGCTCAAGATTTTTCAAATATTTCTTCATAAAACATTCCCTGCAAATTCCTTCATAAAGCTCTAATTGAGTACATAGAAAGTATCTTTGTAAACCTCCTCCATTCTATATCAATTTACTATTAGGCAAAATCTTTAAGAGTTGTTTAGATTACCAAATAAAACACCAGAAAAATAAAAAACAAAACAAACACTTTCCTAAGGCCATAGAGAAAGATGTGTCTTTAGGATTGTATATTACCATAAAAGAGTAATCTCTTCTACATAGAATGAGTACTCTGCCATCCTGTTTCTCATTCCATAACGCAATGTATTCCCTATGAAACAAAATAACATCGAGAGGATAAAACTGGAACAAACAAATCAACAAGCAAAAACCCACTATATTCTAGACTCAGTGCTCCTTTTGCCACCCCCCCACCAGAAGATTTTAAGTATGAAGAAACTTAAAGCTCAATATTCAGTAATGTGGCAGGTTTAGTTGATATTTTTTTCAATACTTTTTATAACAACACTGCAAATTAAGGATCATTAGTTGCACTTGACAAGTGATTAGTTTGAGCCTAAGAATTTAGAAGTTTGTTACTCAAAGATTATAGCTATTGTAATGAGCCCATTTATAAAATGCACAAATTTAAATTTTAGAACAAATAGTTATAGCCATTTCACCATTTGTATTAACTCAACATTTGTCACCTTTCTTTTCATCTGCACTTCTTATCTAACACATCAATGCCCTCTCTTTTTTCATCACAAAACTCTCAATATTTCTTATTGTTTTACTACTACAGAAGCTCTGTGGGTATGGGGCAAGAAGGATTTGGGGTGTATTGCACAAGCCTCAAGAATCCAAATACCCTTTCTTCACAGTCTCATAATGCCCATTATGTAGAGAGACAAAACTGGGTCAATCTCAAGGTAGATAGTTAAGTAAAATGTAAGCCTTTGAGATCCCATAAGTAATATATACACTTCTATTTTGCAATAAACCCTGATGCTGCTTTAAAAACTATGTTAATATAAAATTGAATGTATACTACACAGTATAGATTATAGTTTGATCACTAAAACAAAACAAATACAAAGAAGTAAAATCTCTTTCACTGGATTTTTGTAAAGAGAAAAAAAAAAAGTATTTTTCAATCCAGTTCCCCAACCTCCCATGGAAGGAGTTTAGTTTCACTATCACTGATTTCAGTAATTCACGTCAGTTTAGACTTAAGATTGTGTTAACCTGAAAAGTTTTCTCACGGCGTCTTTCACATCTTTATTCCTCAGACTGTAAATCATGGGGTTCAACATGGGGAACACCACAGTATAAAATGTAGAAACCATTTTGTCCCTCTCAAGGGAATAGCTGGAACTTGGACGAGAGTAGCTGTAGAGAATGGTGCCATAGTATAACGTGACAGAGATCAGGTGGGAGGAGCATGTGGAGAAGGCTTTGAGGCGGCCCTGGGTGGAGCGGATCCTCAAGATGGCGCCAATGATGAAGAGGTAGGAGGCCAGTATGAGCACTGCAGGTGCAATGGCGTTGGAGGCCAGGACGAAGTACAGCACAGCCTGGTAGCTCTCTTTCACATCACACGACAACTTCACCAGGGGTGGGACATCACAGAAAAAATCATCAATGACATTGTCACCACAATAGTCCATTGTGAACGTGTTGCTTGTGAGTAGTATTGCACTGACAAAACCTCCAGTATAGGAATACATAACCAAACAGATGCACAATCTCCTCGACATGGCCTGAGCATAAAGCAGGGGGTTGGAAATGGCCACATAGCGGTCATAAGCCATGGTAGCCAATAAATAACACTCACTATACCCAAGCCCAGCAGAAAAGAAGAACTGAGCTGCACAGCCAGCAAAGGAGATGCTTTTGTCGTCAGAAATGCAGGTCGCTAGGATCTTTGGGGTGTAGACGGAAGAAAACCAGAGATCTAGAAAAGACAGGTTCCCAATGAAAAAGTACATGGGAGTGTGCAGCCTGGAGTCATTACAGATCAACATTATGAGTGTGGTATTTCCTACCACAGTCACAGAATACACACCAAGGAACACCACAAACAGGACGAGCTGCATCACAGGGTCAGTTGTGAAGCCCACCAGGATGAACTCTGTCACTGTCTGATTGCTTCTTTCCATGCCTGTAGGGAATCTCATCTAAAAGAAGATAAAATGAGATTTCAGATTGAATCGCTGTACTGAATATACAGAAGATATGTTAAATAAACAACATTATATCACTGGTAACCCTTGAAGTCTAAGATGCAGCAATGCCAGTGCTTGTTTTAGAAAAAGTTTTCATTTTCCCATGAACACCTCAGAATTTACAATGATAAGTTGTTAATACATAAACTTAGCTACATATAAATTCTTGAGTTTATATGAGCATGCGTTGAATTTGACCGCATCAAACAGAATGTGGTTAGGAGTTCTCCTCCAATGGGAGCTAGGGGAGAGGTTTTTGTAGAGAAGTGGAAGCAAAGCAAGTAAATTAATGGATTGGCTCTGGCTTATGCAGTTGCCTTGTTTGGGAAAACCCAGCTGGCTGTTTGTGACTGGCTGTTCTTAAGTTTTGTTTTCTCAGATTCAAGTGCATTGACTGTGCTTTAGGTTCTGGTTTGCTGACATAGGCTATGAAGGTATAAGATCCATCTCAGTGTAATGGCCTCCTTTTTAATGACTTTAATAATATTAAATTCCAAGTTTCCAAAGCTGCTGATTACGTTTTCCTTTAGGAACAAACGTTTCACTAAAGGGAAGATGAACTTATAATTTCTATTTTCTTGCACTTTGGTCTTCTTTATCATGTCAATTTACTGTTTTGCTAAAGGTGTGACTTCTTAGCTTCAAGAGTTATGTATTTATATCTGAAAAATTGGACTCACCCATTTTTTTAAAGAATGAAGTATTTTTCTATCAGTGCTTTCTTCTGTTGGGACATCCTATAGCTACTATAAATTCATATCTCATAATAGTATTTATAGGGATAAGAAAATACTCAGGAGATTATAAGGAAAAAAGAGGATATATACAAAGCTTTGGAAAAAATATGTACAAAAGATGATATGTAATGATGGGATTATGAAGTACATAGGATTCACTGTATTTTATACATATAATACAGTAAAAATGTAATATATTACAATATCCTAAGAGTCAATTTTGAATGTAAATAATATACATACGTACACTACATAAATAATGTAGTACTAGAAACTTATACTTTATTTAATTTTTATTGCTTTTGTAGGTTTTATTATTAATGAATTTAACCTTAACAAGAACAATTAGGCAAAAAATGTGTGTCTTAGTATATGAAGATAAAGCCTCTAACATGTGAATTAAGCAACTCACCTAAAATTCTGAGCAAGACCATCACTTCAACTGAATTCAAATATGCCTGTCCCAGAATCATTTGTATCAGTTTCTGCATCCCTATGGGGGTAGATCCCTGCGACCCTCAGGATTTCAGAGTTTGGGAAATAACTTACATAGCAATTAAAGAAAATTAAATGTTGACAAATTGGTTGTTATTTAATAAGATGAGGAAAATTTTTTTTAAGGCTACGAATCCCTGGTGAAAATGTAATTAGCTATAATTTGCATTCTCATTCTTTCTTGAGTTATGTAGATGCTAAAATAAAGACATGTGTGCACATAAAGTCCATATACTATATATATATATATATTCATATGCCTAAATCTGTATATTAAGGCATGTAAGTTGAATGATACTGATATTTTTGTTATATATTGAAGACTTTTCCTTTGTCCCTCTAAAATGACAGAAACTTATTCCTTCACAGTTCTGCAGGTGAGAAGTACAACTCAATATAACTGGGCCAAATTCAAGGTGTTACCAGGGTCATACTCCAGGGCTACAGCGGAGATTTTATTTCTTGCCTCCTCTGGCTTCTTGTGGCTACTGGCATTCTTTGCAGCTATATCTCCTCAATCTCTGCTTCTGAGTTTCCACTTCCTCATCCACTTGTGTCTATAGTTAAATCTCCCTCTGCCTCCATAATATAAAGATACATAGATATATATACATATTTTTCAGCTATTTTATTGAGGTCATAATGGTTTATAACATTGTGTAAATTTAGTTGTACATTATTATTTATGTTTCTGTATAGACTGCATCATGCTCACAACCAATAGTCTAATTCTTATCTGTCACCATATATTTGTGCCCCTTTACTCCTGTCACACACCCACTGACCGCCTTCCCCTCTTGTAACCACTAATCTGTTCTCTTTATTCATGTGCTTCTTTAACTTCCAAATGTGAATGAAATCATGTACTGTTTGCCTTTCTCAATCTGGCTTATTCCCCTTAACACAATACCCTCAAGATCCATCCATGTTGTTGCAAATGGGATGATTTTGTCTTTTTTATGGCTGAGTAGTATCCCATTGCATATATATGGCATCTTCTTTATCCATTTGTCAGTTGATGGGCCCTTGGATTGCTTCCATGTCTTGGCTATTGTGAATAATTCTGCAATGAATGTAGGGGTGTATAAGGCTCTTTTAATTGTTGATTTCAAGTTCTTTGGATAAGGCATGGGAAAAAAGAAAAAAAAAGCAAATGGGACTACATCAGACTAAAGAATTTCTTCAAGGCAAAGGAAACTAGGAACAAAATTAAAAGACAACCCACCAACTGGGAGAAAATATTTGCAAATCGTATTTCCAACAAGGGGTTAATTTCCATAATATATAAAGAACTCATAAACTCAACAACAAAAAAACAAACAATTCAATAAAAAAATGGGTAGAGGATATGAACAGACATATAAGGATATTTTTATTGCATTTAGGGCTCACGCTGATAATCTACCCAACTTAACTTAATAGTTCTTTTCTCATATAAAGTAACATTCAGAGATTTCAGGAATTAGAACATGGATATCTACTGGGGCCATTATTCAACCTGTTATATTCCCCGAAACAATTTAGTTTTTCCAGTTTAGTCTTATTTTGTTTGCTTTTTGCTTAGTTTTGTTTTTGTTTTGCCATTGATTCTATAGTAAAGTCAACCAGATTGTGAACACAATTATCAATTGATTAATATTTTCACATTCTTTGAGGGTAAATTTGAGGGTCAAACAAGTAGCTATGTTCTCAAATTCTTATTATCTAACTAGATCTATTATTTTATTACTTATTCAAGTTAGACATTTTCTTCTTTATGCAAAAGTGTGTTCTTGGTTTTGTGGGCAAAAAGTTGAATAAAATATAGCTATTACCTTCCCATAAATTACAGTAAAATGCACTTCCAAGGATATTCGAAATTATGGTTAGAATATTATGTGTGCTTTCTCATATAATTCTCTGGTAAAGGACAAAAAGATTCAAACATATAAAGAGAAATCATTGCATCCTTTCAAATTCCCTTTTTTATATCTTGTACAATTTCCACAGTCACTCTAAGTGCAAACAGAAGAGAAGATACATAAATCAACCCCTCCAAAATGTTTAAAAATATAAGGTTACACACACTGTGTTTGTGTATAATTCTTGATCTCTCAGGCAACTAGAATAATTTCCCAGTTATCCAGCAAGGATGATACCCAAATAAGCATAACCATGTCTCAAAATTTACAAAATAACTGCATCAGTTGGGATTTTCAATGATCTACAATGGCAAATGATGAGGTGCTGATATACTGAGATCTTAAATCATACATATTTATTTCTCTTTTCACAGCGAGGACCCATAGAAATGCCAAATCAGTGGATGAACAAAATTTCACCAAAGTAAAAGAGTTCATACTTTCGTGCTTCACAGCAGACTTGTAGTTATAGAAAGTACTCTTTTTCATTTTCCTCATCGTTTATGTCATCGGTCTCTTGGGGAATATTACTTTGATTTCTCTGATCTATGCTGATTCTTGACTCCACACACCCGTGTATTTCTTCATTGGAAACTTGTCGTTCCTGGATCTCTGGCGTCCTTCTCTCTATACCCCTAAAATCCTGATGACCTGCATCTCTGCAGACAAAAGCATCTCCTTTGCTGGTTGTCTGGCTCAGTTCTTCTTTTCATCCAATCTGTGCTATAGTGGGGCTTACCTGTTGGCTGCCATGGCTTATGACCATTTTGTGGCCATCTCTAACCCCTTGCTTTATTCCCAGGCCTTGTCCCCAAGGTTATGTACAGTCTTGTTGCAACTTCATATGTCAGTGGCTTTATTAACTCAGTAATCATCACCAGCAAAACATTTACCCTGAGCTTCTGTGGCAAGAAGATCATTGATGATTTTTTCCGTGATCTGTTCCCTTTGGAAAGTTTGCCTGTAATATGAAGTATAGCTACCAGGCTGTATTTTATACTTGCCTCCAATGTCATCACTCTCATCATGCTTATTCTTGCCTCCTACCTTTTCATCATTGCTGCCATCTCAAAGATCCACTCCCCCTAAGGCCGCCTCAAGGCCTTCTCCACTTGTAGCTCTCACTTGACAGCTCTCACCTTGTACTACAGTTCCATCCTCTTCATTTACTCCTGACGAAGTGCTAGCTATGTATTGAAAAGGGATAAAAGGCATTGATGTTCTATGCTGTGGTGTTTCCAAGGTTGAACCCCTTGATCTATAGCTTAAGAAATAAATATTTTAAAAACACCCTGGATAAAATGTTAGATAGAGAAAAGTTTTCTTAAATAAAAATACTTGGTAAACAATGGCTGTATTTTATTTTTGAGAATATCTCCCTGTCATTGTTACTGTCCTGTACTCTCAGAAATACATAATGGAAGAAAACAAACAAAAAAATGAATGGATAATGTGAAAACATCAGTTTGCATTTGTCTGTTGAAGTTTTTACCAATGTATTTGAATGAGTTTTTTAAATAAATGAGGATGGTCCACTTAAAAAACTTCTATACCTGCTAGCTTGGAATAGAGCATGAAATTACTGGGATTTTTCCAAAATAGAAAGAGAATGGATTTTTAAAATAATTTTCACACAGTTCATTAGTTGCCTATATAGAATATATTTTAATCTATATGTGGGAATGATGAAAGTAGTTATGGAAAGATTGTCAGGATTAGATAGATTAAATTCTTTCTTCAAATTATGTAGTTCATAGTTGAGAAAACAGGAATGCAAACCCCCAGAACTTCTGAATCCAGAGACAATCACCCATCTGTTGGGAGAAAGTATGACTCAGGTGGTCCTAAGTAAAAAATCTACTATAAAGTGATCCTAGAAATAAATATTTTTTACTTATTTTCAGTTTTTCTTGCCATGATACAAAGATTTCCATGACAATAGATCAAGAAGGAATATATATCTCTACTTACAGTCACTGTCAGCTTGCAATAAAAGAATATTTTCTCCAACCATTAAAAAATCAAATTATAGACCAACGTTACCTCAACAATAATGACAACAAAAGAATTACGGGGAAAAGTATGGCAGCTGAATGAAATGGGCAGATATGGAGATGTAGACAGAAATAGATAAGAAGACAAATAAAGAAATTTCAAAAAGCTTTACATGTAAGAGCAAATTCAGAGCAAAAATTTCTATTAGATGAAGCAATGATTGATAACCAGGTTCTATGAATGTATTTCTTTGCCTATTCACTGTTATGTGTGAATTAATGAGAAGTTAGAGAATATTTCATTACAGTGGGTTGCATTTCTTAATTTTAGTAGTCCTTTTACACATAAAACATGAGATTGTGGGGGCCGACCAGGTGGCAGAGTAGTTGAGCTGGACACACTCTGCTTTTGCAGGGCAGATTTGCAGGTTCAAATCCCAGGTACACCCCTCATTAAGCCATGATGTGGAGGCAACCCACATACAAAGTGGAGGAGGATTGGTACAGATGTTAGTTCAGGGAAAATCTTCCTCAAGCAAAAAGGGAAATATTGGCATCAGATGTTAGCACAGATTCCATCTTCCTCACGAATAAATAAATAAATTAATTAAATTTTAAAAATATCATGAGATTACAACAAGATAAAAAAACCCTAGTGTTGAAAGGCAAGTATATTACTTTGCTAGGTCTTCCATAGCAAAATACCACAGACTGGGTTATGGAAAGAACAGAAATTTGTTTTCTGACAGTTCCAGAAGCTAAAAGGCCAAGATTAAGGTGTTGTCAAAGTTGATTTCCTCTGAGGCCTCTTTCCTTGGTCTGCAGATGGGCTCCTTCTTGCCATGCCCTCAAATAGTCCTTTTTTATGTTTTCATCTATCCTTGGTGTTTTTTTGGTGTGTTCTAACTTTCCTTTCTTCTTCTTTTTTTTTTTTTTGTTTGAGGAAGACCAGTCCTGAGCAAACATCTGCTGCCCATCCTCCTCTTTTGCTGAGGAAGACTGGCCCTGAGCTAACATCCATGCCCATCTTCCTCTACTTTATATGTGAGATGCCTTACCACAGCATGGCTTGCCAAGCAGTGCCATGTCTGCACCCAGTAACCGAATCAGCAAACCCCTGCCACTGAAGCAGAAGATGCACACTTAACTGCTGCACCACCCGACCAGCCCCCCTTTCGTCTTTTTATAAAGACATCAGTCTAATTGGTTTAGTGCTCACGCTAACCACCTCATTTTAACTTAATCACCTCTATAAAGACCCTATCTCCAAATATAGTCACATTCTGAGTTACAGGGCATCAGGACTTCAATATATGAATTGTGATGAGATAAACTCGACCTATAACACCAGATAGGAGTCCTGATGAATGAGACAAGACGGAGTAGCCTAGAAGAGAGATAAGAGCATTTTGCAAGGAAAAAACTTATGAAAAATATGGTACATTCTAGAAAACTCTAATTAGTACAATTTGGAGAGTTTCTATAATCAGACACACTTAGCAATTCTATTAGGACTTAGGTCCATTAAGAAAATCAACGTTTAATGAAATGCTCCTTAGTTCATCATATCCTAATTAAGATATCATCCTCATATTCCAAATGAATTCTGTTTCTTGGACAATAAGGTACATATATCTGGACTTGTGTGGAAAGTGTCTCAAAGGGCTGTTGAGAAAATAGAGGTATTTGGTACAAAGACCATGCCAAAATATCATAGGAGAGGGAAATGTGTGTTCCTTCCAGGACTGTCCTTCCTGGTCAAGGGTAAGCAACTGGAATGAGGGGCCTTCCAGAAAGCAGCTGAGTCCATAAGGCCATGGAGATGAAGTTTATCTTTTAGCAGAATGCTCTTATTGTGTTCTCCAAATTGTTGGCTTATAGACAATTTGTAAACATTGTAATATCTCAAGTATAGTCACTGAGTTATACTTAAAACAAGGGCACATTGATCAAACCATTCTTTGTTTATTATTTTATTGTGACTGAACAATTTTAAACTTATAATATTGTTTTTTGATATTTCATAATATTGTATTTTGCTTCTTTGAGACTAAATTTTCATAAAATTTACCATCTTGGTTATCTTTGGGAGATGTCCTAAAGAGAAAATAAGATCAAATGGTTTTCATGCACATAGTTTGACTTTGAAGCAGGGCAAACAATGTTTATTTGTTGAGAATAAGATTTGGAATGGTTAAACTGCTGGGAATTTACTCAAAATTTTCTTAAGATTTATTTTTAGGAAGTACTTCCTTCCAAATATTTTCATAAGCTCTAATCGAGATATACAAGATATCTTTGTTAACATTGTGCCTTCTGCATCAGTTTAATATTATTCAAAAAGTTTCAGTTGTTTAGATTACAAGAAAATTTTTTTAAAAAAGCAACCAACATATCTTTTTAATTCCATGGAGAAAGATGTGTCTTTAGGATTGCATATCATCATAAAAGTGTGATCTCTTCCACAGAGAATGAGTACTCTGCCATACTTTTCCACATTCCATTCCACTACACCTTTCCCATGAAGAGAAATAACAATATCAAGGTTTACAAACTGAAACAACAAACCAACAAACAAAATTCCAGTGTATTCTAAACCCAATATTTGTTTTTTTCCCCACCAGAACATTTTAACTGCAAAGAAACTTACATCTCAATATTCAATATGTGGCAGGTTTAGTTGATTTATTTTTTCAATACTCTTTAGTACAAGACTGAAAATTAGGATTATTAGTCAGATTTGACAAATGAGCAGCTTGAGCCTAAGAAGGTCAAAGCTTTTATTGGAAGATTATAGCTATTGTTTTAAAGTGCACATTTATACAATACATTTAAATTAAAACTTTAGAACAAATAGTTGGAGCCATTTAACCATTTGTCTTGGCTCTGACATTTGTGATCTTTTTTTAAACTGCACTTACTATCTAACATGTAACTTCCTTCACTTTTTTCATCACAAAATTCTTAACATTCCTTATTCTTCCATTGCCCCAGAAGATCCATGTGTTCTGGAAAATAAGGATTTGTGGAATATTTCACGAACCTCAAGTATCCATATGACATTTTCTTCACATTCCCATAGTGTCCATCATGTAGGGAGAAAAAAAACCAGTCAATGTTAGGGGAGATAGTAAAGTAAAATGTAATCTTTTGATCCAAAAGTAATATATACTCTTCTATTTTACATTAAACACTACTGTTGCTTTTCAAAACTGTATTAATATTAAATTGAATCCACATTCAACAATATATAGTTTGATCATAAAAGCAAAACAAACTAAAACAAGGTAATAAATAGTTTCATCTGCTTTCTTTGAATAGAAAAAATGCTTATTTCTTTTTTCTTAATCTAGGTCTCCAGGAATCGCCTAAAGAATTCTGTTTTCACTGAGCACTGATTTGAGTCATTTATGTCAATTTAGAATTCAAATTGTGTTAACCTGAATAATTTTTTCAGAGCTTCTTTCACATGTTTATTCCTCAGACTGTAGATCATGGGATTCAACATGGGGAACACCACAGTATAAAATGTAGAAACCATTTTGTCCCTCTCAAGGGTATAGCTGGAACTTGGGCGAGAGTAGATATAGAGAATGGAACCATAGTACAAGGTGACAGAGATCAGGTGGGAGGAGCATGTGGAGAAGGCTTTGAGGCGGCCCTGGGTAGAGCGGATCCTCAAGATGGCAGCCATGATGAAGAGGTAAGAAGCCAGAATGAGCGCGGTGGGGAGAATGACGTTGGAGGCCAGGAGGAAGTATAACACAGCCTGGTAGCTCTCTTTCACATCACATGACAACTTCACCAGTGGTGGGACATCACAGAAAAAGTCATCAATGATATTGTCACCACAAAAGTTCATTGTGAATGTGTTGCTGGTCAGTATTATTGCATTGACAAAACCTCCAGTATAGGAATATATAACCAAACAGATGCACAATCTCCTTGACATGACCTGGGCATAAAGAAGGGGGTTGGAAATGGCCACATAGCGGTCATAAGCCATGGCAGCCAACACGTAACACTCACTGTAGGCTAGCCCAGCAGAAAAGAAGAACTGAGCTGCACAGCCAGCAAAGGAGATGGTTTTGTCTCCAGAGATGCAGGTCATTAGGATCTTTGGGATGTAGACAGAGGAATACCAGAGATCCAGAAAAGACAGATTCCCAATAAAAAAATACATGGGTGTGTGCAGCCGGGAGTCATTACAGATCAACACGATGAGGGTGGTATTCCCTACCACAGTCAAAAAGTACACGCCAAGGAACACCACAAACAGGACCAGCTGCATTATGGGGTCTGGGGTGAAGCCCACCAGGATGAACTCTGTCACTGTGAGATTGCTCTTCTCCATGGCTTAAAGGGACCTCACCTAAAGATGAAAGAGTCAAGAGTTTAATTCCCTCAAACAATGCCAAAGGAGGGCATTCTCTGTTCTTGTCTATGGATCTTAGAGTAAGGGATATCTGAGCAGGAATCTTCACTGACTTGGACAGGTAATGGTAAATTTCTGAGCCTCAATATATTCACTTCAATAAAATTGTTTTAATAATATGAAAGGCTTAGTGCTGTTGGTGGTATATTCTTTTTTTAGGAATGTATTTTTTGAGCCCTATGTGCTGTCTAGTCATTGGTATACAGCAGTATGGATGATAGGGCTGACACTTATTCTGGGTATCTGTAATTTAGAAGAGAGAGACACATAATAAATAAGTATATAAATACTTTCACTTAATTTTAGATGATATTAAGAAAATAGTCCTGCATGATGGGTGAAAACTGAGAGAAGAAATAACTAAATTTTGACACTGAGAGAAACTCCCCCCTTTCTAATTTCCCAGCCAGAAATGGACAAGATCTTCAAAACGTGATAATTGGGAATGTTCTTATTGTTTAGAAGACGGTGACATTTCAACGGTGGCAGAATACATCACTCCAAAATATGCCACTTTGGCATAAGAATTATTTTGAGCTAATGGCATTTGAAATAACAGTAGATACAAAAGGAACACTCTGATCTCCCTCTTTAAGGAGACACAACTCTCATGTGAGAGCTGCCCTCTCTATACCCAGAGAAAAGAAGCATTCTTATTATCAAGGACAGGAAGTTAAGACAAATGAATTCTGCACAAACAGATCTTGTTAAAATAATTCCTTTTCATCTATGTTTTAGCATATGCCATTACTTTATTCCTTTTTATTGTGAATAATATTCTTTTAAATGGTTATACCATATTTGATTACCCATTCATCAGCTGATGGGAACTTTGTTGCTTCCACTTCTTGACAGGTGCTGTGAACATTCGTGTACACGTTTTGTATGGACGTATGTTTTCATTTACCCTGTGTAGATATGCAAGATAGAATTGCTGAGTCACATGTTGAATTCATATTTAAGATCTTGAGGAATTGCCAAACTGTCTCCCAAATTAGCTGTAACAATTTTCAATCCCAACAGCAAGGTATAAGTGTCCCAGTTTTTCCTTATCCTCACCAACACAAGTTATTTTCTGTCTACCTGATTGTAACAATCTTATTGGGGGTGAAGAGGTATAATATTGTGATTTTGATTTTCATTTTCCTAATGACTAATGATGTTGAGCTTTTTTACATGTACTTATTGACTATTTGTTTATCTTTATTAGACAAATATCTAGTCAAATCTTTGCACCACCTTATAGTTAGGTTCTTGTCTTCTTATTATTGAATTGTAAGGATTCTTCTATTTTATGTATACAAGCCTTTATTAGATATATGACTTGAAAATTTTTCTCCCATCATCTGGGTGATCTTTTTGGTTTTCTTCATGGTCTTCACAGACATACAAGAGGTTTTAAATTCAATAAAGTCCCATTTGTCTATTTTTCCTTTCTTCGTTGATGTACAAATTTTTTAAATATGAATAAGTCCAATTTATCTATTTTTCTTTATCCCTTTCTCTTGTGTCTTATCTAAGAAACCATTGCCTAACCCAAGGTCACAAAGATTTGCTGTTTTCTTCCAGTATTTTTATAGTTTTAACTCTTACAATTAGGTCTATGATCTGCTTTCAGTTAAGATTTGTACATGGTGTGAGGTAGAGGTCTAACTTTATTTTTTTGCACGTGAATATACAGGTGTCCCAATACCATTTGTTGAAAGGACTGTTCCTTCTCCACTGAATTTTCTTGGCATCCTTGTCAAAAACCAGTTGACAGTTGTTTTAGTTTCCTGTTGACCCTGTAACAAATTACCTCACACTTAGTGGCTTAAAACAACCAAAATGTTATCTTACATTCCTGTAGATTAGAACTCCAACATTGGTCCAAATGGGCTGCAATTATGATGTTGGCCTGGCTGTGTTCCTTTCTCAAGGCTCTAAGAGAGAATCTATTCACTTGCTTCCAGAGGTTTCCAACATTCCTTGGTTCATGGTCCCTCTTTTTCTTCTTCAAAGCCAGAACCATTGTATCTCAATAAGCATTATTCCATATTCATGTTTCCCTCTGACCCTGAACTCTTCTGCCTCTCTTTTAAATCTTAAGGACTCGTAATTACATTGGGCCCAGGAGATAATCTGGGATAATCTATTTCAAAGTCTGCTGAATAGTAACCTTAACATCCACTTTCCATGCAACCTAATATAGTCAGTTTCCAGGGATTGGAACATAGACATTTCAGGGAGGCATTATCCTTATCTACCAAATCCATAAATTTAAAGGTTTATTTCTGGACTCTCCATTCTATTCCTTGGTCTTTATGTCTATCCATATGACAATGTCTTAATTGTTTGAATTAGTATAGCTTTGTAGTATGTTTTGAAATTATGAAGTGTGAGTCTTTCAAATTTTTTCTTCTCTTTAAAATAAGTCTTATCTTCCTTTAATCTCCCCATATATTTTAGTTACTTTTCCACAATTGCTTCTCTTTTTCAACCTAGTATAAAAACATTTATGTTTTGCCACATCTTTGAAACTCCATTTAGTTATGAGGGCTCCCATGTCAAGTAATACTTATATTAAATAAATTTTTTCTTGTTAATCTGTCTTATGTCAATTTAATTCGTGGGCCCAGCTGAAAACTCTGAGGCAAAATTTCGTGTCTCCTACACAGTTCTCCTCTACAATCACAGAGAAAGGTTTCCTCTCAGCTACTGTTCATTTGTCATAAATCTCAGGGAGAAAACAAAATTGAAAATCAGGGTGAAATTTCAGAATGGAGACCAAAAAAATTAATCCATCTGATTATACTAAATTAAAAAAAATAGCAATGTCATTGTAGGTCTTTTGGGGTCTAAAAATCTGAAAGTTAGCATTATTCTCCAGTTTTCCCAACCAGTTGTGTACAATTCTTAAAAATACACTTATCCCAATTTGATGTCATCTATAGTAATGCTACTTAATTTTATTGCATTCAAAAACCTCCACTTTATAACAAACACTTTCACTGCTTCCTTCATAGTCCTAAGATGAAATTTATCTTTAATATATACCTTTAAACATAGTATACATATGTATATGAAATATTCTAATATAAAAGTAATAAAAAAGAGCAGTAGTTCATAATAACTATTATATGGTAATAATTATAGGGTTCATTATAAAATAATATGAATTTCAATATGTAAATGCTGAAATGCTTAGGGAAATAGATATGTATCTATGTAGTATCATCATGAATGCATTGCCGATTCAAATATTGAGTGATATTTACACTAGTGATACGATTTTTTGACATGAACAATTCTTAAGTTCCAAACAAAACAAATCACAACCTTCACTCAATTTTGAGTTCCTAGACAAGTTGTTCTATAGAAAAACCTTGTAAAATATACTTTGTGTTTATTTGTAAAGTGGATTAAATTTCAAACTTACATCATTATGAAAATCTTTTTCAATGCACAATTGTCCTTCGGGACACTGGATGTAGAGAGCGGAACTTTTTGTTGGATGTGACTTCCCCACGGTTGCAAAACAGTTTCATCCTTGTCTGTTACATACTAAATGGCCAGAGGACCCCTGATCTTTGTGACAGTCAAAAATCCACCATACATTTCAAAAATGCTTTTGAAACAATGTTATCATTCTGCTAAGAAACTCTACTTCACAGCTTTGTATTTTACTTATTGCCTCTTTATAGGATTCTTCTAGGGATTATGTGAAGGTCTAGAAAGTAACTGGAGTGTATCCCTGAGTGGTAAAATTGGCTGTGGTGAGATAGCACTCCATCTACCTTTTCATGGATCTACTGGGTGAGGGATGTCAAGCTGAGATAGTGATACTGGCCCTGATACTGGCTCCCCTACATTAAACCCAGCATATGTGGGGTTCAAACCAAAGCACTCATTCCCTGCTTACTCCCTGGCTTCCTGGATCCAGAATCCACTATCCTCCATGGAGACAGACACAGTCTAGGACAAGCACCTGGATTCATTATCTCCCCCCCACAAGGAGATGCAGGCTGGTAGGGAAGCTGCTGACCAGCAAGTTCAGGGGCTTCCTCCTCTCTACAATTAGACTCAAGGCCAAACACAGGCTGGTGGAAAACATCCAGCTGACAAGATCATATGCTCCCCCTCCCTTACTTAAAACCCTTGCTTTTACTTTTTGGGGGAGTTAGAGATTTCAGCATTAGCTGCCTTTTCTCCTTGCTCAGTGCTGTGCGATAATAAAATTCCTACATTCTTCCGCTACACCCAGTGTCAGAGATTGGCTTGCTGTGCAACGGGTGAGCAAACTCACTTCAGTTTCAATATCAATAGGAGCCCAACAGAATGTAAACCCCATGGTTGTAGATTTTTGTGTTTCATTTGTTATTATATGCCCAGTGTCTAGAATAGTACCTAGCATATAATAGAGACACAATAAGTGTTTAATCAATAAATGAATGAATGAATGAATGGGTAGCCTTGAATTGCAAAAGAACCAAGTCAATAGAATCAATTTTCTGGGTGGCATCTAATGATGTCATTTACCCTCAAAACATCAGCAGAATTGTTTGATATTCCACATGCATTTCCTGGCACCACTCATCCCTGGACATTTGTGTTCTTTTTTTTTTTTAAAGATTGGCTCCTGGGCTAACAACTATTGACAATCTTTTTTTTTTTTTCTGCTTTATCTCCCCAAACCCTTCCCCCCGTACACAGCTGTATATCTTAGTTGCAGGTCCTTCTACTTGTGGGATGTGGGGCGCCGCCTCAATGTGGCCTGACGAGCGGTGCCATGTCTGCGCCCAGGATCCGAACCCTGGGCCACTGAAGCACAGTGCGCAAACTTAACCACTTGGCCACAGAGCCAGCCCCGACATTTGTGTTCTTTGCAGAATAAAAAGGGACAAAGAAATCTGCCTACTAAATAATCTTATACAATATTT